GGCTATATACAGCTGCACTGATGCACAGGTCCTGTTTCCATGCTTATTTGCAGACACCAGGAACTTGTAGCCGGAGGGCCATGCTGAACTCAAGGACATGGGTACCCAACGTGACTTTGTTCATATGTGCACGTGACCTATGAGATGTTCTTCTAAACGAAGCTACAATTCTTTGCTGGTTTCCCCCCTTAACATTACCTGTGTTCATCCTCTCTAGGAATTACTGTTCAAAATGAATTAGCGTGAACCCTTTCTGAAACATGTGAAATTGATTCTTTTTTCCTACTGCAGAATATCTCAGCATTTTGATGAAACTGCAGGTTTAAATTTAGCCAAATTGTTCAAGTAAGCCCCAATAAAGACTTCAAAGATTTTTTAAAAAATAATCACTGGTTCCATTTTATATTAGTTTTTTACCCTCCAGATTTGCTATTCCAATTCTTGGATTTTCCCTCAGTGCAATCTTTAGTATGTGGAAATGTGTATTTTTGGTATTAACTTCATATGAATACTGTGTCAGCATCCAAAGGGAACCACCACAATAATTTCAACCATCTGTTTTGCCTATGAACATGGCCAAAATGTAGCTAAGCAACCAAAATAAGAAAATTGGACATTTTATAAAGTGTGACATGAAGTTCTTTAAGTAACTGGCAATATTCCTAAAATTTAAAAACGCTTCCAACATGATTCCCCCCTCCCCGCCAAAGACTGTCCAAACACAGTGTATGCACACATACAAAAATATAATAGTACCATCTCCAAAACCTTTTTTTTTCACTAGAAACAGAATCTGAAATGCATCAAAATCACAGGCAGAATATATTTGGGACAAGATTAATGCATTTATATATATATATAGTATCATTTGTGTGGGAAACTTCTGCTTAAAGATTGTACAGTGATGCCTTTCAAGACGAATGCCTCACGCAACGAAAAACTTGCAGGACAAAAGTATTTTGCGATATTTTTTTGGTGACTCGCAAGACAAATTTTTCTACGACCACGCTTCGCAAGATGATTTTTTTTGCATTTTTTCCTTTTAATTAAATATCAATGTATTCCTATGGGAACCTGCGCTTCGCAAGATGAAATTTTCGCAATACGAAACGACTCACGGAACAAATTATTTTCATCATGCAAGGCATCACTGTAGCTGCATTCTGTTCCAGTGACATGCAAACACTCCTGGAAGGAAGCGGCAGCTGATAGCAGGTGGGGTAACCCCTTCTTCTGCCCTTTCGCTTAGAGGTAGAGCATAAGATCAAAGGGTTATTTTAGCCAATCCTAGTTCCAATTAGGTAACTAGTATCCTATCTGTTTTTCTCACAACATACTATGTAAATCATGCCAAGTCAATAAAAGAGCCCTCAGGGCGTTGCCAGTTGGCTCCGCTGGCTCCGACGTTCACTGTCAACTCCTTTGTTCTCTCTCTAAGGCAATTAGCCTTCCTTTGTTCCTTGATCACCCACAAGTTGTAGGTCACCTTTCTCTCTATGAGGGGACTCAAAGGAGCTCCCAATATTATAACTACTAGAATGAAAAACACAATAAACTATACATTAAAAAGGAATTCAACCATGATAGTAATAATAATTAAAAAGCATGAAATGATTAAAAACATTTAAAACTTCTAAAACAAACTCACTAAGTTAAAACCAGCATGCATGACTCAGTTATCAAAAGCTTGCCAGAAAAGGTGTGTCTTCAGCTGTTGGTGAAAAGATAAAAGGGAGGGAATCAACCTCATATCCTGAGGGAAAGCATTCTTTCATGAAAGAGGGAAGGCCCTCTTTCATGTCCCCATCAAGTGTGCCCACAATGGCAATGGGACCCATAGGAGGGGCTCCTCTGAATATCTTAAGCACCAAAAGGGCCCATATGGAAAGATATGGTTCTTCAGGTAGCCTGGAGCCAAGCTGTATAAGACTTTATGCGTAATAACCAGCACTTTGAATTGGGCCCAGAAATGCTCCCTATAACTCCTCAGTCAGAGTCCGGCTATTGCATTTTGAACCAGCTGAAGTTTCTTGAACTATCTTCAAAAGCAGCCCCACATAGAGGATGGTATAGTAATCCCAACAGAGTGCAACTAAGGCATGTATCACTGCAGCCAAATCAGACATCTCAAGGAATAGGCGCAGCCTGCGCACTAGTTTTAACTGTGCAAACGTACTCCTGGTCAGTGCTGAAACCTGGGCATCCAGGCTCCGGGAGGAATCCAGGAGTACATCCAAGCTGCAGACCTGAGTCTTCAAGGAGAGTATAATCCCATCCAGCACAGGTTGCTTCCCTATTCCCTCATCTGTCTTCCAGTTGACCAGGAGTACCTCCGTCTTCACTGTATTAAGTCTCAGTTTATTTGCCCTCAATGGAGCTCATTACTGACCTCACACACTGGTTTAGAACTGAGATAGCTTCCTTGGAATTAGATGGAAAGAAGAAATAAACTTGGGTGTCGTCTGCATACTAGTGACATCAAATCCCAAAATTCCAGACAACCTAACACAGCAATTTCATGGAGATGTTATAAAGCATGGGGACAAAACTGAGCCTTGGCCAATGGCCCGGGTGTTGAACAGGAGTCTCCCAGCACCACCTTCTGAATTCTTGTAAAACAGTGCCTCAAAGTCCCATCCCAGAGAAACGGTCCAGAAGGACACCGTGGCTGGTGGCATCAAAAGCCTCTGAGAAGTCCAGCAGGGCATAGGTCATCCTCCAAGGTGACCAAAGTGGTCTCCATAGCCAGGCCCAAAGCCAGACTGAAATGGGTCAAGATAACCAATACCGTGCCCAGAAATGGAATATTTGAGACTGGCATGAACAATACTATAAATCATGAAGGAATTACTCCTTTTTATTTTTAGATTTCTGGAAACATTTTAAATCCTCTGTACAATTAAAACCACATTCTCTAAATACATTATTATCCAACTTAAAAGGAGAGGAATGGTTTGGGGGAAGATTTGATCTTTTCAAAAGATTCCAGTGTTCTACTTCAGCATTTTAATTTGCTCTTAACTTTAATTATCTAGCAAATTAACTTAGCATATCTGAACGTTTAAAAAACTTCTCCCTCTCATGTTTGCGCTTAACAGTGAGCGGCATTCCATACATCTTCTTTGCCAGGAGAAAAAGGAACCAGATGTCCCCTCTTATATTCCTCTGGGATGATCAAGTTACATGCTGTTTTATCTGAAGGAGCAAGCCCTCAGACTAGGTAGCTAACGCTTAACTGCTTTCTTTTTAATACACAGAATGGTCTGTGCCTGAAGGGCTCCAAACCTCTGCAGGAGAGAGAAGACATATGACAAGGCTACATTCCTGAAAACAGATGAATTTCTGGCAGCTCTTGAGGGATTCTCCTGTGACTATGAATGGCAGTTCTGTCCTGTCCAAACACTGCAATGAGACAACTACTTGGGGGTTGACAAGATCACTGCCAGAACAACATCCTATGCCCTGTTTTGCAGAGCTCGGGAGAGCAAGAATGACTGTCCAAGCAGCCTGCAAGGGGCAGAAGATTTCAGTGATTCTAACTGAACACTGGTGGGATCCCATTTCAGAAGAAGACTGGGAAACATGTAGCTTCCTTGATGTTGTTGGGACCTCCCTTGCCAACAGCTGTAACCAGTAAAGCCACCAGGGAAGGATAATGTGAGTCACACTCTGGAGGGACACACAATGCTCTTCACCCAGAGGAAGCCTTAAGTATGTAGACTCCCGTGTATGTATGCCCTTCTATATGTGTAAACGTTCCTCACACCACTTGCGACATCCAGTTATGGACACCAGGACCAGGGAAGATGAATGATTTCACAAGTGGGACGAGTAGCATGGCTCACTGCCCCTTGATTATGTGGAAGGATCTTATCTCTGTTCCATCAGGTCCCAAGTGGACTACAAAAGCTTTGAAACAGGTAGAAGATCAGATGCGGGGAGACAAAATGTGCCTTTTACAAATGCAAAGAATCTTTATGGCATGGTTGTTGTGAGTTTTTCGGGTTCTTTAGCCATGCTCTGAAGGTTGTTCTTTGTGACACATCAAAATTAACAAGCTTTATTTGGGACCTGCAGCCTGGGATTTTGGAAGAAGCAGCTACTGCCCGCAGAGGTATATACCAAATAAAACTTTAGCTTTAAAAGATCACAAGACTCTTTGCTGATTTTGCTGCAATAGACTAACATGGCTACGCCCCCAAACATCTACATAGCTGTTATCCTTTTAGTTCTAGAAACATTCGTTATACCTATATATGGTTTTCATTAAGGAAGTAAATCTTCACATATTTTGTTCTTGTAGGTCAGAACAAACATTTTTTAAAAGTTCTCAAAAGTTTTTTGCAATTTTTGCATTTTCAGACTTTACTTTTTGTGCATAACATAATGTTGATAGCACAAAACACAATATATAAAGTTTTACAACATAATGCATTACAAAATAATGCAGATGTCTTTTTGATAATTTCGATAAGGAGAAGAAAACCTGCAAGATATCCTTGCTTTTCATGTTTATACCCTGTATAATTTCTGTACCAGCCACCTAGAGTGGTCACAATGACCAGATAGGCGGGGTATAAATGGAATTAAATAAATAAATAAATAAATAAATAAATAAATAAATAAATAAATAAATAAATAAATAAATAAGTAAGTAAGTAAGTAAGTAAGTAAGTAAGTAAATAAACAAACAAACAAACAAACAAACAAACAAACAAACAAACAAACAAACATAAAATCTGTGAAATATAGACCTAATGAGACTGGAAACCATAGTACAAGAGTTCAGTAAATTACACATACTGTATATACATGTATGAAAAAGGGAAGCATTTATGTATCCGTCCTGTGGCACATGTGGGCAATACATTTGTTCATGAATTCACTGATTCACAACCCTCATGCTTATTCTGGATTCTTGATTTTTATAGCATCTGACACAAGATTAATGCCAGTTTTGCGCTAAGATTACTAGAGATGACTAAGTTTTTAGTACTCACAGGCTTACCATCTTGACCAGGTTCCCCAGGATAGCCATGATTTCCAGGTTGTCCAGGATCTCCCTAAGGAGAAGGCATAGATATTACAACATAACAGAAAATGTAGGGGCCAGCAACAAATATTCTGTAGCATTCCTGTTCTAACTCTGCCTTTCAAGCGGACCCTTGTACTAATAATCTTCAGGGCTCACAGGCCAATGGAAAATTCTAGGGGTGGGTTGGGGTGGGAGCAATCTTGAGACTCCAGCAGTTAAATGGCTAGAACCAGGAAATTACACTTGCAAAGTCTAAAACCCAGGAGACAAGGCCAGAAACATTGTATGTCATAGTTGGTCCTTACAGTTAAATCCTTACTTTCCCCCTGGGATATGTTTTCACTGACTGTTAATATTATTTCCCCCCGAAATGCTAGATGTTGAAGATGTCGGAAAATTTTTATGACTTATGTGGGTAAATTTGGAGCAGATGGCATTAGTGTACTCTTGGCTGAGTACGGGTTCAGTGGGTTAGCCAAGATAGGCTCTGTCTTCTGGAGCAGAAGAACATGACCCAACTTCGCAACAGGACCATGTGGTGCCAAATCAAAGATGAAGAAGACAGTTAGTTGGCATGTCTTAAGCTAAGGATGGGTGGACAACCGGTGGCCCTCCAAATTATTACTGGAATGCAGTTCCCATCAGCTCTTGTCCACATTAGCAGTGGTAAGGGTTCTTGGAAGATGCAGTCCCACAATTTATTGGAGGAACACACATTGCCCACTTCGGTATTGTCATAATTATATGGCAAAGTTGCTTAGTCTTAATTTTATGAATGCATTATGTTTTAGCTCTATTGTATACCCCAAAAAGGCTTTCTTCATGTTCTTTCTCTTAAACATGAATGAGTAATGTGAATGAAAGAGGGGTATGTGGAGGTTTTCTTTTCTTTTGTGTTTTGCCCTTTCTTTTACCTTTGTTCAATCACTCAGGAAATTGCTCAGGAAAAATAAAACATCCAATAGCATTGCAAGAAGTGCTATCAAAAGCCAATCAGAGCATCTAGGAGCAGCACAGCAGGGATTCTGAACCTATAAAAGGGCCTCCATTGGTTGGACCCCAGTGAGGGTAGTGGTTTAGTTTTTCTTGTAGGACTTCATTTGCTAGCTAACTCTTGGTGCCCCCCAATCTTGCACAGCGATGCCTATGCCTGGCTGGCTGTTAGACCTAGAAGAGAAGACACCTGTGAAAAAGGGAAGAGAAATCTGCCCTTATTCTAGTCATCTTGGTTTGGCAGAGGTAGGGTTTGATTGCACTTCAGACTTAGATTTTCTTGACTGAGTTTCTTGGTTTTTGGGAGGGAGTCTGTCTCTCTGTGTGTGTTTTAATTTGCAATTTTTCCCCTGTGGGGACGCTTCCCTGTTAGATTAATTATTTTAACATATCGTTTGGCTAACTCACTGTGTATTTCTTCTGTTGAAGCTGTAACTTATTATTACTATTTTTCTTCCTCAGGTATTGTTGCCTGCTTTTGAAGTACATCTGTTGTGTTGACTCTGCTTTTTTGGACTAGTTTTTATGGATTATAGAGAGCTTTTGGATGAGTCCCAGAGAAAAAACAAATGGGGGGGGAGGAGAACAGGAAATAACACCAAAGAGTTGGTCCTTTTGTATTTAATGAAAGGACCACTGCACAAACGATAAGAAAACTGAAGAGGCACTCCCCAGAGGAAGCCAAAACACATGAAGAATGAGTTTTTGCTGAGCACGTCCCTCCTAAACACCAGAATGTCCATTTCAGCCTCTTTTTTTGCATCCCACATAGTCTCGGCTCAAGCCTTCAGTGTTAGTTCATGAAAGGTTGAATGGGCTGAAAATAAATGTTTCTGTGTCACACAGTCATGGAGTTTAACTCAACAAAAAGTGTTTAATATAGTCAAGTGTAATATAGTCGTAAGAGTCAACCTAATGCATCATATAAGAACTCTACTCACTTTGGGGCCTAGTGGGCCTGGCTTTCCTGGAGGACAGATACAAGGAGGTGGTGTAGATCCCACATCACTTGGTCCGTTCATGCACTACCAAAAATATACATAGAATTTTTCAAACATACACACAAAACCAACGTTATACAGATTAACAGTCTACTGAATAAGCTTCTGTGCTCCTAAAATCACCTAGACTCTGGCCTTAGAATCATGTTATAGGCCCAATACAAGGATATTAACAAAATCAAAATATAGCTTCAGTTTCTATGTAAATATGCAAATCCTAAGCTAGAAATTTGTACAGACTACTGTATGAGCCAGAGAAGAATAAAAATTCTTAACAATGCATCCAGGGAGCCCAAATACTTACCCAGAGGAAGGACTAACAACAACACCTCTAGCTCTTTTCCTACTGTAGCCTTACTTCATTCCAAATTGTGTCCTCAGGGAGGATCATCCTGATGCATTCCCTGCCCTTATTCTAGTCATCTTGGCAGAGGCAATTACATCATATAGAAGGAGCACAGATAAATGGTAAGAGAACATGCTTTGCATGAAGAAGATCTTACGTTAAATTCCTAGCATCTCCAAGTCATAGTAAAATGATCAGGTAGCAGATCATGAGAAAGATGCCTGCCGGAGGCCTGAAGAGATGCTGCCGCTCCAAGCAGAGCAAAGGAGGACAAAGCACGGCCCTTCAGATATTACTGGACTGCAGTTCTCATCATCTCTCAACAACAGTTGGCTAGGGCTGATGGAAGTTGCAGTCCAATGAGATCTAGATGACCACACATTGTCCACCACGGGGGTATTTCCTCTAGCTAGAGTAACAATAGGCTGACCTATTGTTTCCTGACATCAGTTTCCTAAATGAGAAATGAGAATATTATCTGAGCAGATAATATGAGCATTTTGCATCATGCAAAATGATACAAGATGAGCTCCTCTGAAGCTGGGCGATTCTAATGTACTCTAAACACAAGGGTCTCTAGGTTTAATGGCACAATCTTGACTTGAAAGGCATAGGAATTTTCCACAGGGAAAAAAAAGCCCTTCAGCAATATCGATTTATTCCAAGCCATTAAGTTGTCTGCATCCACATTCAACCCAAGGCAAAAATAAAAATCCTTAAGAAAAACATGTTTCTATGACATTTTTCCAGCTATTACTTGCACAAATAAAGACAACAAATCCCCAAACGTTTGAAACACAAGGAATGATCTGCCAAAGGTTTTCTCTGGAATTGTCTGTCTCAGTAGGACTTCCAGGAGGGAAACTTCCAGTGAACTGTCCTGGATTTTCCTTCCAACTGATATAATTTATACTCCAGTGTAAAAACTGAGTATCACTAGTAATATACAAATGATTTAATTCTCCATGATGGAGCATGATTAAGTTCAAGCACAGAGGCTGTTCCAAAATAAAAATAAAAATAATAAAAGGTTTTAACTGCAAAAGGGATTTGCAAAAAAACCAAAACAAAACAAAAATAAAACCCACAACCCCTTCGCCCATGTTCTCACCTGATGAATAACAGTTAATTTGCAAGGAAAAGTAATAAATACTACCTTAAAGTCAGTATGAACAGGCATGTTTTTGCCTACCTCTCCATTCTGAAAAGACAAGAACAAACTTTTTAGAGTCTGTAGCATAAATGGCACATAAATATATGTATATGTATATACATTCATGGAGATTCTTCCTGAACTAGTCAGTGCTGTTAAACTATAACTTGTTTTTCACTTGATCCATAAATCTATGCGAAGAAGCTTCTGAAGAATTATAGAACTGTAGGGGAACTGAAGGGTCATTGCACAGCAGGAAATTCGCCACTAAAGCAACCTTGACAAGTAGCTACCCAACCTCTGCTTTAAAACCTCCAAGGAAGGAGAATTCACCATGTCCTGAGGCAGTCTGTTCCACTGCCAAGCAGCTCTGTCAAGATGTTCATCCTAATGCTTAGCTGAAATCACCTTTCTTGTAATCTGGATCCATTACCTCAAGTCCTACCCTCCAGAAATGGAGAAAACAAGCTTGCTCCGTTTTACAAGACCTCTATTTCTCTTATAAGCAATAGACTCTAGAGAAAAATCTATGCCCATACATTTAGCAAGCACACTGATGGAAACAAGCCTAGATTCCTTTTAATTCCAAGAGGCACTGTTTACACTAACTCAATCATGGCAAAAATGTTTAAAGAAAAGAAAAAAGGAAAAGAAAAAAGGAAGAGAAATAAGAAAAAGGAAAATGATGTTATGGTATCCTCTCCAAAACCCTTATAGGAAAAGAAATAAGAAAAAGGAAAAAAATGTTATGGTATCCTCTCCAAAACCCTTATAAATCTACGCCTTCATACTCACAAAGCCAGGTATTTCACAAGCTGTTTCTCGGTTGTTTTGTTCAGGATCACAATAGATCCTCAGCTTTTGGACATCAAACTGTTAACACAAAGATTATAAAGTTATTGTTCTTGGTGCTCTTCAATTTAAAATGTCTTCATATAAGGAGGAACAGCAGATCATTGTGTGAAAGTTCACAATCTCTAACAAACATGAATATTACAGTATAAGATGTGCTGGCTGGATTCTGAAGGGCACAATGAGTCTAGTTTTCTGATCCTCAGCCCACAACTCCCCGTGATTTCAGCCTTTGGGGCTGACCAGAAAATCATTCTCCTGGACACTTAGAAGCAACCAATGATGCTGCACAGAGAAAATGCACTCAAATGAACAAATAGAAAAGTCCCACATGACACATGTGTACCTAGGGGTCAACAGTTCCTAGAAACTATGTGATTCCTGAATGATTTCTTAAAGATTTATCACAGACACTATGGGAAATCGCATGCAACTTTTCCCCACAAACAACGTGTCCGCTACTGGTAATTTTCTGCTACACGGTGCTCAGTCTCAGGTCAGGCTGTGTGTGCAATCGAGGGCTTACAGTCCTATTTCCTGGAGAAACTGCAAGGCTCAAGAGGCTCAGCCAGCATCGGGCACCACTCTTCAGAATTCACAGTATCCTGCAACATGCCACAGCCCCATGAACATGGTGCAGAAGGGGTTCCTTAATAATGCAGGAATATTTTCATATACAGAGAACATTTAAAAACCAGTGGCCTAAGCGATCTGACTCAGTTTTGCAGAGAAGAGATACATTAACAGTGACTTTTCAAAAACAGTTCTGAGAATGTTTTGATGACAACAGACAAACGGTACAACCTGTGGCCATATCTAATAAAATGTAACCTCGTAATGGACCTCTCCCCTCGCAGGGACCTATTGCTATGGTCCGCCCTCGAAGGCTATTGGATCCTGTAGGATCCCAGGATGTCATGAGAGGTGTTACGGCTGACCTGGCTGGTACTCCTGTCAAGGCTCTGGTTGACATCTGGTCTACCACTGCCACTAGGGCTATAGACACGATCGCGCCTAAACGTCCTCTCCTCCATAGAGCTCGGCCAGCGGCCTGGCTTAACCAGGACCTCCGAGCGCTGAAGCGTATGAGAAGGCTAAAGCACAGGTGGAGGAAGAACCCAACGGATTATAATTGGATAGCTGTCAGGGTCGCAACTAACCTTTACCTGTCTAAGGTAAAGGCTGCTTGTCGAACTTACTTTGCTAACCGGATAAGCAAAGTGTCCAACCAGCAGGCGGAGTTATTCCGTATAGTGCATGACCTATCCGGAACTGGTTCAGGTGATAGGCCTCCCCCTAGTTTCTCACCTGACCAGTTTGCAGCCTTTTTAAAATCTAAAATGGAGGCCATCCACCAGGACCTCTCTCCTTATTTGAATACAGTGAGTCGAGCAGAGATGTCCAGTGCTTCGTCTTGCCCGGTAACTTTCGACACCTTTCAGCCTGTCACGCCTGATTCTGTAGCCAAGGTGCTTGACCGCTGTCGAGCCACCACCTCCTTCCTTGACCGGCCTGGCTAATCAAA